CTACGCACGCGCATTCAACGGCCGACAATGGAACTTTCCGTCTATTCAAAATCTCGTGAATAAGCAACTACAAGCAGATCACCATTTTCATCGCAGAGAACCTTAGAGTCATTGTTAAAGTCGTTTATGATTCTGTACAGACATCCGATATTTTTGTCTGTCTTTCTCGTTCCTGCAAATTCTACTGGTTTTATGGCTTGCATTGTTCAAATCATCTACATTCATTTGACTTGGATCTGAAGGCTTTGAAAATTCTCGACAAACCACAATTTAAGCTTCTCGAACTCAGAAAATTCTGATAACCTCGTTTGTATCTTCGCAGATTCTACTGACGTCCACATTATCATCCAAGTTTCGAAAGCTGCCTGCGAATCTGTCGGGATGTCCACGTCAGGCAGCCAACAAACTGTCCTTTGTTTTCGCAGTGCTGCCATAACAATAATCACAGCGACAATTTTACCGCCCAGAGATCGATTACTTTTTACTGAAACACTAAGAGGTCATTGTTGTCATATTTTTAACTGAATTTGAGGATTAAGACTATAGAGTGTTTTAGGTGAACTGAAAGTTTTGTCAGGGAACTTCAGAAAGGAACGAAGAACATTTCAAAAGGATAATTGGGCACCAGAGATTACATAAAACTAGCAAAGACAATAGACTTTCACCACAAATCTTGCCTCTAGAAAATGTTTAAATCTCAAGACCAGTGTGTTCCCACACCGCATAATTTATAAATTCACTTCAACTTCTCCCGATTAAAATTGATCACGATTTGGTACTCTGTACTTTGTACTCGACGTTCAGTTTCCACAGAAAAATGACGAACGGTTTGCCTGTTCAGTACAAAACCCAATAAATCGGACTTTATCTTGCCACTGTTTTCGACAGAGGTGAACCACGTGGACTCCTGACATTTCACGTTCGTTTTTCGTTTCTTACGACGCCCAACAGCCAAATTGGAGAACCGCCACTTGTCGGCCGTCCGCGAGTCATTATTCATTATATTCACATCAAGAGACCTTTCCGTCCGCAAACGGAGAGTGGGTCATGTCGTGCTAACCTAACCTAACCTAACCCAACCTAAACTAACCTAACATAACCTAACCTAACCTAAACTATCCTAACCTAACCTAAGCTACCTAACCTAACCTAACCTAAACTAACCTAATCTAACCTAACCAAAAAAACTAACCTAACCTAACCTAACCAACCTAACCTAACCTAACCTAGACTAACCTACCTAACCTAACTAACCTAACCTAACCTCACTTAACACGGACGCAAGATGATTTAGTATTAGACGTAGATGACATAATTTGCTGTGGACTCACGTGTATTCACCAGAATGGAAGACCAAATCAGCTAATAAATTAAATCGTACGGGACTGTGGCAAAATTAAAATTACTTATATGACTGTAATATTATCTACTGTGTTGTATGGACGTGAAACTCGCTGGCCCGGATTTAAGTGGGGGGGGGGGGGGAAGGCGAAAGGCGTCCTGGTAACCATCGCCGAAGACGATCACGTGATACTTATTTATACTTTATTATTGTTTATTTATAAACAACACTAGACAACAAATTTTAATGAGTTGTATATATCGGAAATGAAACTAATAATTTCTTACGTATTTTCGTCCGCTAAATTCGAAAATGACAATAAAAGAGCTTAGTTAGTTCGCGTTTTGAAGATATTTTGTACCAATAAATTCGTCCAAATGACACGCAAATGTTTAAAAATTTTCGTCTACGTTATAGACGTTGTCTTTCGGCCATTATTTTGTTTTTTACCTCGGAGGCGTCTCTTACCACCGACCAGCAGCAATCAGCTATCATTTCCCCTGACAACGCCTTCCAAGAGTAGAAATATCTTTGGCGAAATCGTTCGCCACGTTCGTCACTAACCGATCCAAGATTATCAGGTGAGAGTGGAGGAAATGCATTTTAAGAAAAATTTCTAACACCTGACTTGAAGGGTTCCCCCGTCAAAATGTTCATCAAGAATCAGGTTTCTTATTTGGGGACCTACGAAAACTCCTTCTCTGATTTTAGCTTAACTTAGTCGGAGAAATTTGTGAAAGGGGCACCTGAAGGCTTCTCCTGGATTTGAAAAACACTTCAGACAGCAAATTTGGGGGGGCCCGTGCCCTGTCCGTGCCACCCAATTTGCAACCAAAATAAACGATGGGGGGGTCGAGTTTCGTTTTTGTAATTTAAAAGTCACTTCTCCACGGATATAACAAAAGTTGTTAGGATTATTGACACATCCAAGCGACATTTTGTATATTTCAGTGTTACAAATTTCTCATTTAATTACTCGCAACGACGCTTCTGCAGTTTACTACGTAAGTATCCTAAGAGAAACACTTGTTTGCCAAACAGAACTGAACCTTAGGGATGTTGACTAGACCTGTAGAAAGAAATAAAACCTTCTCCACCCTTGTACAGGCTGTTTCCGAAGTACGTAAAATTACGAAAAATTGAGCGGAACAGCTCGGTATGAATATCTTCGAAATGCGAACCAATGATTCAAAATGAACGTCATTTTCGTGTTTAGGGGCTCAAAATTAGTAAAAATTGGTTAGTTTCATCTCCGATATATTTTGTAATTGGAACATAACCTAATTTTTTTTTTTTTACTGACAGGGGCCTCCACATTTTGAACTGTCCCAGGGCCCCACGACTATAAATCCCGCCCTGTGTTTGAGTGAGGGTGCCGGCGGCGGGAAAGTGAAAGGGGGAGGGGGTACATACCTAATGAAGAACTTCGCAATTAGTATTCCGTTTGCTTTCAAGACAGACTGCGCACTGGAGCTGATTAGTCCTCTCAACTTCTAAAGAAATGCACGCGTCACGAATGAATATTACGGCGACTGTGACGTTTTATACAAAAGTGTAGCAAATACAGGACCTCCCATTCAGAACGCGACCCTCGCTACTACACACGAACTCCCTCCTCACGCACTGAACGACGTGGCAATTGAAATCGATACGAGCGCTCCCTGCAGACAAAAACACTTATTCTTTCCAGAAATTGCGTTACCAGTCGGCGTATTGTCGTCTTAATCAGGATACCCATTGTTGCCAACAGCAGCAAACGATTTCTGTCCGCCCATGCGTGTATCTGCGCAGCTGGCGCGAGCAGCAGCCTAGTAAACACGGTGACCTTGAATCTGAGTATCACGGGGGGAGTCGGGAGAGTACATTTATTGCGCGGGGGTTGGTGGACCTGCTTCTGATTTCGTATTTGCAGCGTAGACTGTTGTTGGACTGGCGTTTTTAAAAGTACATCCTGTGCAACAAGGTGCCTGATTTTATAAAACCTTCTTCGAAATCAAAATTCCGAATGAAACAGTCGTGTAAGCTCCCTAAACGGATATTTTGTTACTGAGGTCCTAAGATAACCTAACCTAAAACTCGACAAAAGTTTCAGGAATAGAAAAATGTGACACGCCCGGATCGTAGCGACGAGTACAAAGAAAAGAAGGTCTGAACAACATCGACATGCATCTCTAATCGAGGAATGTTAATCGGTGATTAAAGATCCAGTCCAATAACCGGACGTCTAATCGACCGCCACAACAAAACACAACACAGTAATAAATAGTGCTGCTTACCCTGAACCATGTGGCCACCTACGGGAAAAGCGAACACAAAACACAGCATTAGAACACAAACAAATATGTAATGCCCGCTACAGAGCGGCCAATGTTTTTTGCAACGCCAACCCAACAAAACTTGGCGTCAGAACCATCTACTTGTTAAAAGCCCCAATCTACAACCATTTTAATATCATCCTCCTCCATCAAAAGGTTTCGTGTAGGCGTAGAACACGGCTCCGAGTACCAAAACTTTCGCAGTCAACACTGCTTGTTAGTATTGCAGCGTTGGCAGCACTCTTTCGCGACATAGACTGTCGATTGTTTCTGCTCTCCTACTAGACTAGGCATCTGTAACGAAGGCGCTGCCTCCTGACTCGGGGACAGACGGACGTACAAATTGCAGCCTTGCAAGATCACACACATGCACATGCAGTCGGCCGCTGCAGGCTAATTGTAAGCAGAATACAAAATTACTTCATAATTTTTTATGCTCCGGCTTGTTCATTTCAACGAGCTGTATCAACTACAAGAGTCTTCTATGAGCTTGTAGGTGGGATGTCTCTGTTACACCGACAGGATCGATTTTCCAATACGCGTTTCTTCGTATCGGAAGATTTTCCATACCGCGTTTCTTCGTATCGGAAGATTTTCCATACCGCGTTTCTTCGTATCGGAAGATTTTCCATACCGCGTTTCTTCGTATCGGAAGATTTTCCATACCGCGTTTCTTCGTATCGGAAGATTTTCCATACCGCGTTTCTTCATATCGGAAGTTTTCCATACCGCGTTTCTTCGTATCGGAAGATTTTCCCCATGAGCACGTAAAAAAATCACGTGGTCCCAGCAGCACATCTTCTGTCGAGTCATCCAACTCAGTTATTGCTGACATTTCCCTCGAAACTTAAATTCTACTGTCCCACTTGTAAGAGGAAATATTTGGCCGCACGAAGTCCGGCGGTTGGCAACACTGTTAACCGTCTGACGAGTCGCGTTGTTCATTTCCCGCGCTCCATCGCTTCTTCCGAGGATAGAACCTGCTTCTTCTACTTCCAAAGCCCAACACACAAGTTATTGCAGAAATCTCGGCACTAAAATGCTTAAAATCACCAACACGTGGACGGTGGCTGTAGCTGAGACGCGCCGACTGGTTCAAAGACAGCCACACGTCACGTGACAATATCTGAACGACTCGTTTTAGAATCCTAGCCCAGAAAGAGCGTAATCGATGCCACGAGACAATTTGTTTTGAAAAAACACTGATCGCTCTGACACTACACGTGCGCTATTTGTAGACTACGCATGCGCGATTCACTGTTGCCTCCGTCCCTACTAGGAAAGCCAGGCAACAATGACAAAGCGGGTTGAGCACGGCGTCACAGTGTTGCCGTTAGGCGTACCTTTGGCAACGCGGCGAGGCACTGCTGTTTCACGTCCCAGACGAGCTGGTCCCGCGGGAACTGGAGGCACTTCTGCACGTTGAGCTCTGGTACGTGAACTCGGACCAGCAGGTAGCCCTCCTCCGGGGCAGGCGCTGGGTCCTCCTCCATCTGCAACGCAACAATACGACGGTTTAACCAACAGTTCGGCGGAGAGAAGCTTCTAGAAACATTTCTTAACGCTGTTACAAATAAATCATCGACTTTATGTGCACAAATGCTACCAGGTAAAGCCGCGAGCTGCCGATTTGTATTTCACACGAAAGTTATTCGCGTGCGAGCAGAACGGACGAGTTAGTGCGACGGGAGGTCCGGTTTACACAGGGTTACCAACCATGAGGAATCCGTGGGGAAATGCGTGCTATGAGTCACCATCAAGACAAGGCGTCGCCCTGGCTCCGCGCGCTGGACGGTGTTGGTTCGAGACCCATGCGTTCGGCCCGCTCAAGAACGCGCCGAAGGCCGTGTTTTTACTCAGTGGCTCCAGCATCAGTGAAGGAGCGCCAACACGAGACGCGTGACTCGACATGAGGACGCATTTCCCAAAATCCTGACTGCACACAACTAACTGAGCGTACGTATTTTATTAATAAAAGGCTTCATAGCAGTAAACAATTTTGACAGTCGTATACCGAAACGTCCGACAGAAAAAATATAATTGGTGCGCGATTCCAGGTTCTCGCGGGCTAAGAACATTTTTACACAAATTTTCTTTTCGGATGTTGCTTTTTGTATAAGTTTCCCGACGTTTCAAGTCATCTTCAACAAATCGATTACTATAGAAGGCTGGCGTGTTCACGGAGATGTGTAAAATCACGTCCCAACGCCGCGCGTTTTCGTTCATAATTTCGCGTGGGATCTGCACGACCTTGAAGCAGGAATCCACGTACTTTATTCGTATCAAGACGGCAAAGTATACAAATGTCCGAATAAGGTTGGCACTTCAATGCCACGCCCACGTTTAAATTACAATGATCCCGCACAAATACCACTGGGCCTATTACTAAAGGCGAATGCTAATTCGTCTTTGAGGTCGGAACCCGAACGACTCTGCCTTCATTCGCTCGTACAACGAGAAATGGCGTGTTCTTTCCTAACAAAACGTTTAAGCTACTTCGGACCCAACCTCGCTGAGAAACGTTACACGCCGCCATCTCCGTCAAACAGTAAAACACTTCGCCCCGGAGCCATGTTGCTATTTTACGTTGTACAGAACATTTAACATATTAACTCAGGGCATGACGAATGTTTCTTGGGTCTAGGGGTTTCTTCTCATAATCTCATATTGTAATTATTGAATTATTGAATAAATTTGTCCATTAATGAGTATCCCATTCGTTCACTTAAAATAATGTTCTGTCCACGAATTCCGACACTGTTTTGGTGACCACGCACGGAAACCAAAGCGCCACTGGTCCACGGCCTTCACCAGTACCTCCCACCCCCTCGACTAACTCCATGGCCCAGAGGATTCTCTGCGATCAGTTTCTTAAGGCTTTGACCGGGATGTTAAATCTTATGTGGTACCGCCTGATTCGACTTCTAATGGTTAAGTGAAGTGTTTTCTTCGCGGTACGGTCTGGATTCGTAAATATTATGAAGACGAGCTTCGGCTTCAAAGGGTTAGCCAGCTGATTTTCGTAATGGTGAGGTGTAGTGTTTTCTTCGCGGTACGGACTGAATTCATAAATAATATTCAGACGATCTTCGTCTTCAAAGGGTTAAGAAGTCCTCTGTACTTTTTCTGTAACCACAAGCTTCATTAATATCATCACACCATCTGTGCATTGGTCTTCCCAGTGGCCCCTTATCTTCAGGCTTTCCAACCAAACGCCCAGTGCATGCTATATGTCCTGTCCATAACATCCTCTTCGATTACGTCAAAAAGAACCTTTAATCCGAGACCAGCCAACTGCTGGATCAGACATGAAACCTGCAACTCAGATCCAGGGGCTGTCGCACACCTCGTGGGGGGCGGAACAGTGGAGGATGATGCCCGAGAGGTGGCAGAGAGTCGAAGACACTAGCCGCAATGTTGGTAGACCTGATATTGCAGGCAGGAAACTGGAAACTTTCGTTTAAGCCTTCGTAAAAACGTCGTCAGGTGGTTCCACGGTTGCTACTGGGCGGAAGACAGACACGGGACATAACACAGCGTCTTTACCGTCACTCCTCTGCAGTCCCAGTTCAGACTGAATTTGACGGGCTGGACGGTTGGGCACCAAGCAAGGCCACCGCCATCCTCAGGGTCGCCGAAACACATTGTGTGACCTTCCTACCAAGTTTCGAGAAAATGAGCTAGTTCGTTCTTGCTGCATCTGGAAATTACCAGACACACACCGACGTGGTTTTCCCCTGGCACATAACAGCTGAGTAGCTGGCACCACGTGACTGGAATCAACTCGTGTCCAGTTCGGAGCTTAACGAAACATTTCACGAATACCAGCGTCGTCTCCCCCCCCCTACCCCACGCAAATCTGTATCTTCCTAGGGGTCTATTTCCAACTCAGTTCTCGCAATGAATTTCTTATTCATCTCCTGCGCGCTGCATCGCTCGTCTTTCAAAAACACGTAGTTTAATTACAAGTGAATATTATTATTTTATTTATTATATTTATTTAGTGTTCTGTCTGACGACAGGTCCATATGAACAGGATCCTTCCATCCTTTTCTCGGACTGGGACCTGTTCATATACGTTCTTGGCAGATGATCCAGAAGTGGTTTGCCATTGCCTTCTTCTGTGTGTGAATGGAGTAATTGTTGGGATGCCACGGAAGAAAACTCCGTGTTGCCTAGACCACGGCCTTGCCCAACACAAGTTATAAATTCGGGCACCGCCGGGAATCGAACCCGAGACCCCAGGATTACAAGGCCAGCGTTCTAACCGCTAGACCACCGTGGCTATAACAGAATTATACAACAAAAAATTGTTAGGATTTGAGGTTCTGACGCCTTCTGGTCTGGTAGAAGTTGACCACCCAGAATAAGACAGCCATCTTCGGACTATGAGGCGCTACAATGCGGAACGCAGCCATCTTATTAAGTTATTGTCCATTTTGTTCACGTTTAAATGTTCTCAACAACTCTTTGTACCCCTGTTAAGTCCCGTTTACAACACGGGCCATTCGCTTGGCCCTGCGGGAAAAAAAACGCCGGCCTCTGCAGTCCTAGTTCCCAAACACGCCTGCAAAACTTGTTACCATGAGTTAAAGGAACAGAATTTCAATGCCACACAACAGAATATTGGAAATGGCCTTGCATCTACTCCGTGCTTCGTCACGCTGGCGTGAAATGAGTTGGTCGCTTTACTTCGTGCAATTAAGAGCTCGGTTGGTACGCCTGTTTTCAACAGCTCGCTTGCTGTTGACACACTCCGTGATGGATGCGTGACGCAGAGTCGAGCAGGAAGCAGCTTGTTACAGCTCGCGTGGGAGGCCCAAGGACTGAACCCAGGTCTAACCCAACCTAAGCATCGTTTATGTCAAAGTACGATTGGCCAAGACCCATAACGACGTCTGAATTTAAATAAAATCTAAACAAGGAGGCAGAAACCACGCGCTGCTAGTCACGAAAGTTCGAAGCCAGAAATGACCTAAAGCTTACGGTTGGCCGCATATTCAAAATCATTTCTTTCCACGTATCTGTCCTCCGTCAAAAGCTCTGTATCTTCCGCAAATTTCTATTAACCCTTTGAAGCCGAAGCTCGTCTTCATAATATTTACGAATCCAGACCGTACCGCGAAGAAAACACTTCACCTCACCATTACGAAAATCAGCTGGTTAACCCTTTGAAGCCGAAGCTCGTCTTCATAATATTTACGAATCCAGACCGTACCGCGAAGAAAACACTTCACCTCACCATTAGAAGTCGAATCAGGCGGTACCACATAAGATTTAACATCCCGGTCAAAGCCTTGCGCCCTGCCAGTGTGAGAATTCACAGCCGGATGGCTCCCACAGGTCACGTGACATGGCAGGAAAACATGGCGAACGGAAACTTCCCATCATCCCCCAAAATCAGACAGCAGCGAAGCGGTGGGCGCTGTCGAATGACACGCTCTGTACTCGCTCGAACGCAAATATGAAGTCTTTGACGAAAGTTTTATGAATTTCAAATTATTCATTCATCGGCACCCCCAAAGGCGACAATTCTCACACATTTCCGCTACAAAATAAATGTCGCAATATGAATAAAGGGAGCGGTGAGTCTGGAGATCTGCAAAAGATCTCAAATCCCTTCCGAAATTCAGCGATGACTTGGAGCCAAACAAATCACAGGCGCACCATAATACCAAGAATCCCCACTCGTGTGTCTGAACATGTCTGAGGGCCAGCGAGAGGCTCTCTAAAGGCAACATATCATTTTTCGATATACAGTAAAACCCCTCAAGTTGGACACCCCTTCTATATTTGACACTTTTAATTGGAACCGGCGAACATCCTATAATTTTACATGTCCACAACACCCTATATCTTGGACACCCCTTTATCCTGGAACTTGGTCACCCCTTTTGTTGTAAGTTGGACAGGTTCGTGCACTTCGCTTCGATGCTTTTCAGGGAAACTTTTTCAGTTGCATATTTCGATATTTTGAATTTCTGACTGATGAATGCCTCCTCTCTGGAGGATTATCTTACGGACATTGAACCCATCATCGGAATGCATTGCAAGTTTTTAACAATTCTTTTGCTGAACCCTTAACTGGACTACAGTTTTGCAGAAGACACAGAATGTGCTTGCATTTGAGTTCAGACTGCGTTGGTGGAATTAACTTTCGAGAATGTTACTGAGGTTGGGGTGTAATTTGCAATGCGTGGGAGTGGGATTATTATTGATGCTATTGTCTTTAATTCTTAATTAAAGTAAGTAAATAGATTATATTGTCATTAGACCACAATCTGAGTTTTCTCTCTCCCTCTATCTTGGACACCTCAGTAAGTTGGACACATTTTCGTGGATCCCCAAGTGTCCAACTTAGATAAGTTTCACTGTACATTTATTAACGCTGACACCGTGAACTGTGTTGCACTCTGACGAAGGAAGAATCGGTGGAGAATGCCCTCGTCGCCTCATTCACACGGACGCTGACCTCAGGCCCGACATCGAAGGC